AACTAAGAAAATGTATCACCAACAGACATACCCTAAAGAGTGGTAAGAGGAAATTCTCTAAACATAATGATGGAAGAAATCTTGAAATATCAGGAAGAAAAAAAAAACATGGAAAGAACAAAAATATAGGTAAATACAATAGACTTACACTTTTCTTTTCCTTTTAACTCTTCTAAATTTTGTTAGATGGCTGAAGCAAAAATTATGTCATTTGACATTCTTAATGTATGTAGAGGGAATATTTAAGACAAAGTACATTATAAGTAGTGGAGGGTAAAGAGATTATAAGAAGATAAGGTTTCTACACTTCATTCTAACTGGTAAAATGCTGACGCCGGTAGACTATGATAAGTTATGCATGCATAATGTGATACCTAAAGCAACCACTAAGAAAACTATACAAAGAGATACACTATAAATTTTTTAAAGCCACTACAGAGAAATTAAAATCGAAGTCTAAAAATTGTTCAAGTAATCCATAGGAAAGTAAAATCATAAAATCAAAAAACAGAGAATAGAAAACAAACCCCAAAATGGCAGATTTAAGCCTAACATATCAATAAATATATTAAAAATAAATGGTAAAAATTCATCAAATAAAAGAGACTGGTGCAAAAAAAAAAGTGACCTAACTATATTCTGTTTGTAAGAAACTACACATAACATTTTAGATGAATCTGAGTGAAAAAAGCCAATCTCAAAAGATCATATACTGTATGATTCTATTTACATAACATTCTTGAAATGACAAAATTATAGATATGAGACAGAGCAGAGTTTGCTAAAGGTTAGGGATAGTGGCAGAGAGAGGAATGGATATGATTACAAAGGGGCAGCATAAAGGACATGGTGATAGAACAGTTCTGTACTTTGATTGTGGTGGTAGCTACACAAATCTATATGTGATAAAATGATAGATAACTATATAAATACATTGTACCAATGTAAATTTCCTGGTTTTAATACTGTGGTTTGGATGTAACGAATTGAGGGAAATGGAGTGAAAGGTACACAGGATCTGTCTGTACTATCCTTACAATTTCCTATAAACCTATTAATTACCTCAAAATAAAAAAGTTTTTTTTTTAAAAATCAAACTGCCTGCTATAGTTTGGATCCCATGTTGAAATATGATCCCCATTGGTTGTCACACTTGCAGGGAAAAAATAAAAAACAAAATCTGATCCCTAATGTTGGAGGTGGGGTCTGGCAGGAGGTGTTTTTGTTGTGGGGGCAAATCCCTCATGAATGGCTTGGTGCCATTCTCTCAGGAGTAAGTGAGTTTTCATGAGAGATGATTGTCAGAAAGAGCCTAGCATCTCTACCCTCTCTCTTGCCATGTGATCTACATGCTGGCTCCTCTTTGCCTTCTGCCATGAGTGGAAACTTTTGGAGGTCCTCACCAGAAGGAAATGCTGGTGCCATGCTTCTTGTACCACCTTTAGGACTGTGAGCCAAATAAACCTCTTTTCTTTATAAATTACTCAGCTTCATGTACTGCTTTATATTAATAGCAACATGCAAACAGACTAAAAGATTGCTAGAGTTTAAATCCAGGCCCTACCACTTCCTCTGTGAATTTGGGCTTATTTCACCAATCTCTCCATCAGTTTTGTCAACTATAAAATGAGGAACTGTATCTACCCACGCTATGACTAGACATAAATAATACATAAAAAAAGAATGATACATCCAACAATATGGATCAATCTTAAAAGTATTATGCTAAGTGAAAGACTCCAGACTCAAAAGACTATTAATTCAAATTACATTTTAGAAAAGGCAAAAATTGTACAGACAGAATTCAGATCATGGTTGCCTCAAAAGGTGTGGAGAGAGGAAACCTTTCGTTACAGTGTTGACTTCTGAAATCATGTTAATATTCTGCATATTCAAATATAAAACTAAACCAACGAAGATGGGGAGAAAAAAATCTTAAATTGAATGCAAACAAACCAAACCAATTCAACTATGTTTCAAATAACCATCATAATTAAACTAAAGTGGGAGGGAGTGGTGGAAAGAGGTCTAATCCAAGTATTAGGTCATTAAATAGAAAATGTCTAATTTCGAGTCAATAGTTTATTATATTCAAATCAGAAGCAGTACAATTAATCAAAGTATGCTCCTAAACCATCGACACAGTTTTGCCATCTTAACAGTAGCTTGTTTATGCCAGCAGCGAAGAAGCCTGGAGAGCAAGTATCAATGAAATCACAAAAGGTGTTTTCCACAGCTTCTTAGAATTTAGTATTTTTCCTTGCAAGAAGTGATCCAAAACTAGGAAGAAGTGGTAGACAGTTGGTGCAAGGTCTGGTGAATACAGTGGATAACAGAGAGTTTCCAAGTCCAGCCTCTGTAGTTTGAGCAGCATTGTTTTTTGCAACATATAGTCTTGCAAGAGGATTAGCCTGTCTCTATTGACCAATCTCTGCTGCTTAATCACAAGGATCCTCATCATTTTGTACAATTGGCTGCAGTAGATATCCACTGGAATTAACTGACCAGATTTCATGAAGCTGTAGTAGATAATACTAGTGCTGGACTATTAGCTTTTTTGGATGAATATTTGGTTTTGGACTGTATTTTGGAATTTCATCTTTATCCAAGTGTTATGCTGAATGCTTGAGAATTGTCAAAGAGAATCTATTTTTCATCACACATAACAATACAGTGTAGAACTGGTTTGCCTTTGTCATGATAGCAAAGAAAGGCAAGTTTTGAGATGATTTCTCTTCTGATGCTCGTTTAATTCATGCGGCATCCATCTGCTCAGCTTCTTTATCTTGCCAATTTGTTTCAAATGTTCAATACTGTTGGAATAGTAATGTCAAACCTTGTTGCTAATTCACACACAGGTTGAGATGGATTTGCTTCCACTAGAGCTTTCAGCTCATCATTACCCACCTTGGTCTCAGGTCACCCACATAGCTCACTTTCAAAATTAAAATCGCCAGAATGAAACTTCTCAAACCATTGATGTACTACTGTGCATTCATTAGCCACATCCTTTGGAAACACTTCTGTGATATTTCAAGCTACCTGCACTGCATTGGTTCTGTGATGGAACTCATACTCAAAAATAACACAAATTTTTTACTTATCCACAGTTTCACAAAAATTGCTCTAAAAAAAAAATGTGAAAGATAATCACAAGCCAAAATGTGCATTTGAAAGACTAAGGATATATCTTCACAATAGGAAAAAAAGAAGTGTCAAAGTGAAATGTCAGAGATACCAGCTGTCAAATTTAGTACTTAAGGAAATCGCACATTTCATACTTAATGACCCAATACTTTTCACTATATGCTCTCAGTCTAGGGGAAAAAACCCAAACTAAAGAACATTAGAAAAAAATAACTAACCCATATTTTTCAAAAATGTGAATACAATGAAAGACAAAGAAAAGCTAAAAACCATTCCAGGTTAAAGGAGATTAAAGAGACATATCAACTAAACATAACACATAATCTTGGACTGTATCCTTTCTTGGAAGGGAAAAAATGCTTTAAGGACATCATTGGGACAGTTAACAAAAAGGGAATATAATAATTGTAAATTAAAGTATTGGAATACAACTCCAGATTTAAAAAAGTATGGTAATAATGCTAAAGTTCTTGAATTTGATAAATATATTAGAGTTATTTAACCTTATTCTTAGAAAATATACAGTGCTATATGAAGAGATAAATGGTCATAATGAACATAACCTTCCCTCAGAAAATATTAATTTGCTGGGCACACTGGCTCATGCCTATAATCCCAGCACTTTCAGAAGGCCAAGGTGTGAGGATCACTTGAGCCCAGGAGTTCGAGACCAGCCTGGACAACATAGCAAGATTCTGTCTCTACAAAAAAATTTTAAAAAATTAGCTGGGTGTGGTGGCACTGTCCCAGCTACTCAGGAGGCTGAGGCAGGAGGATCGTCTGAGCCCAGGAGTTCAAGGCTGTAGTATATAGTGAGCTATGACTGCACCACTGCACTCCAGCCTGGGTGACAGAGCAAGGGCAGACAGACAGAGCTGTCTCTTAAAAATAAATAGATAGATAGATAGATAGATAGATAGATAGATAGATAGATAGATAGATAGATAGATAGATAGATAGAAAGAAAAAAGGAAAATTAACTAAGTAATATTATGTATAGTATGAGATAGATACATTTCTACATACAGAGAATGCCTCAAAGGAGCTAAGGTTTTCACAATTGGCAAGGAGATAAATTATTGCCCAGAGTAGCAATAGAAGAGCAACATCTCCTCTACTCTATGAATCACATCTAATCTATTCCCTGGCTCTGCCCTTAAGATATGTGTGTATAATAGAAAAACAAAGCCTCTGATTGAGGAGGCTGTGAAAGTACCTCAGCACCTCAGGGGGCATTCAGATACCAACTAAGGCAAAACCAAAGAAAACATCCAGAAGAAGGATATGGGTAGTTGTTGGCAACACAGAGTAAAGGTTTGGAGGGAGATCAAGAGTCAGGATTGGGCTAGAGCAGATTTCCAAAACAGATTAGAATCTGGGTGATAAAATATGACATGAGGTGGAAAAGTTAAAAAGGAATCCAAAATAGGTGGGAATCAATACTAGTAATCTTCATGTGGGCATTTAGGACTAGCCACAAGGTCTCTAAAGCTCTGCTCTGTAGTGTAAGAATTCCTAGAAGATCTCCTCTAGGAAGTTTTTCTAACTCTCCTCTACCAGGTAACCTGTTAGACACCCTTATCGGTGCCCCTATAATATCTTACCCTAATGACTATATATAATTTAACCTACATTCAATAAATATTGGTTAAATGAATTAATGATTCATCATAACCTGAGCAGACCAGACATGAGAAAAATAAATTGACAATCAACTTAATAAAGAAATGACATAGCAGAGTTTAATTTTTCAAAAAGTTTCTGAAACATTTAAAATAGGAACTGGTTTAAGATTCAAAGAATGCAAAATGAGAATTGTTTCCAGTTTATTTTGGTAAAAGAAATATGCTTACTGTACAACAAGTTGCTGGCACACAGTTCCATTCTCTGTTATCAGTTCATTCAGTTTCAATTCAAGGTGAACTTTACCCTGTAATGACAAAAAAAAAAAAAAATTACTGAGTCATCTACTTTATTGACAAAATATTAAAGGTATGTACTTTTTCAAACGGTACTCATATTTAATTAACCACTGACCACCAGTACACAGCTCTGGTCTACAGTAAGTACTTGTTAAATGACTAATAGCCAAAAACATAGATCAAAGTTCTAAAAGATAAACAAATGCTTACTTCAAACATGTCATTCAAAATTTAAGAATTTTTATGCCAAGTTCAATAAATATTTATGTATCTCAATTATCATAGATTGAAAGGAAAGATAACACTTATATTTTAGGAAATTTTGAAATAAAATCAAATAAAATGTAGCATGCATTTTTCAGAAAAGATAAACTAACAATAAGGACAGAGGTGGTATCATTAAAAGATAGAAAAATGATACAATTCTAAAACAATAAATTTAAAACTAACTTGAGGTCAATAAAGACTCAATTTGTGAATATTTACTTTTATCAAACATTAAAGATTTATGCAATATCTGCTATGTTAGGAGGCACTGTGGGAGTGGGTAGAAATCCACAGACGTCTTAAGACACAGTTACTATTTCCTAGAAGCTTACAATCTAGTTGGGGAGACAATAAACAAAAGATAACAATATATAGCCAGGACTATTTATAGGAAGATGTGATACTGAAAATAAAGGTGCACTTTCTTAAACAGCCATTAATAGATGGATTTTTAAAAATTCAGTAGTATACGTTTAAAGGAATTCAAACTGTCAACTTTTCAAGAAACAAAGGCTTAGGAACAATATAATCTAGAGCTTGATATTTCTATCTTGGTACTGGAGATGAGCAACTCTAAACTGGTTAGGAACAATTCTTAACTGGTTAAAAATCAGTGCTGGATTACCTCCACCCAGCTGACAGGACAAATTCCCATGGTGCCAAGTGGAGATTTCAGGGGTGTGTTGTCTAAGGGCTGATGACGTGAGTGATTCCATCAGAGGTAGAAAAGTTTATTCTCTAGTCACTGTTCCTTTTTGGAACAACCCCATTTCAGACATTCTTTCACAGAAATCTAACCTGAATTACCCTCACTATTTTATGCAGACATGTCATACAAGAATGAACCTGAGGGCCACAGCTCAGGGTTAGATAGGTAGTAAATAATGAGTAACAAACACTGATAGATTTTAACACAAATGTCTATATGAGAAAGCTATACTCTAAATTAACAAAGGCTGGGTTGAAAGGCATATGGTAAAATAAGTGAATAAATAAATAAATTAATTAATTAATTAATTAACAAAGGCATCAATGGTAGTAAAATGAGGAGTTAGGTGAAGCTGGAACTCCAAATTAAGAAATTCTTCTTAATTAAGAAAATCTTCCACTAAAAATCTAGGTACATATATTTATAAAATCATATATAATTTATAAACTAGGTCTTTCGTTATTCCTGCATTTAATATTCACAATCTCTACTATTCAAGACTATGAATAGTAGAGACCATGACCATGAGTCCAGTTACATTACCATGACGGTCCATCATATGCAGTAATTTGCAATTTATTACTTAACTAGAAGTTTGAATGTTTTCTGTCATGCTAGCATGTATGTGTAACTTGGCTAGAAAGGGAGCCTAGTCAACTGCACAAACATTTGTGTCTTAAACAGTTTTACTATTTTAACATGTATACATTTTATGATAGAAATTGTATGCTAACAAGGTACTCGCAACTTTTCTCAGGAAATGTCTAAGATCTACTCTAGTTCCAAAACAAATAAAAAATTAAAATATAGTAGAAAAACATATAATCATTTTATTTATGACTAAAATCACAGTACTGTATCAAGTCAAGCCTAGAAATAAAAAGATATTTAATAGGATTCTACCAGGAATCATTATCATTGAGTCAGAGCCTACCTAATATGTTCATTACTCCCACTGACTGGTAAACAAAACATTCCTTTGGTATTAGTCAACAATAACATAATTGGATATTAACCTGTTCAAGAAAAGAGTGGGGACAGAACAGGCACACATGAGATGTGTACTATTAGGGTGAAACACTAAAATTAAAAGGTGTTATGACTTAAGATAAAAAAATTGTAATTTCTAAACTGTAAAACACTACACCTCACTATATATTTTAACATGGAAGTATGTAGATGATACTTAGTAAAAAAAATAAGTTGCAAAGTAGGGCATATAATAATTTGTAAAAATAAAAAAATATATGTATAAAATTACAAGGCTATCTACTGAAATACTGATAGAAGTTACCTTTGGTTGGTGGGATTTCAGATTTCCTTTTCTTTTTTGTTCTAGATTTTCAAAGTTTATACTACCAACCTACACTTTCAAAGTTTCTACAGTTTTCAAAGCTTCTACGTTGCTTTTATAAAGAAAAATAAACAAAAGTTTAAAATTATTTGAGCTGCTTTTCAGTTACAAAAACTCAAATCTGTGACCATTTTAGGAACATTATTTAGTCTTCCCAACCATTTTCACATAAAAGTTCAGCTTTATTTATATCTGTATCTATCATTTTATACATTTGGATTGTAGCAAAACAAGTCCTTTTTGTTTTTGGAGGGGCAGTTATGAGTCCAGTTACATTTCCTAGCCTCCTCTGAGGCCACGGATGGCTGTATGATGCAGTTTTGGCCCATGAGATAGAAATGGAAGTTGCTGGTGGGGGCATCATTAACTTTCTCTAGAGGAAAAAAACCTATCGCTCAGAGCCTCTCAAATCATTTCCAATATATTTCATATTTCAATGTCTGGCACTCCACCAAAAATTACTCAGCATGCCAGAAGATTGAAAACCAAGAGAAAAAAATGGCAAAAGTAGCAGATTTATAGGAGCAGACATTGGAATTAAGTGCAGAGTTTGAAATATCTGTTTAAAAATTTTTTAAGATTAAAAAACTAAATGAAAAATGCATCAGATAACTGTAAAGTATAAAATAAATCAAATGAAAAACTTAGAACTAAGTAATAAAACAAAATAAAAATGTATGTAACAGCAGAATAGCCACAGCCAAAAAGAGAATTGGTGAAGTGGGATGTGTGTTAGTCAGCAGAAAATATCCACAATGAAGCACAGAAAGGGAAAGAACACAAGCAATATATGAGATGTAGTGAGTTGGCCTATTATTCATGTAACTGAAAGATGGAGTGATAATTGCCTGGAATTTTCTAAAACCAATGAAAGACATTGAACCACAGATTCAAGAATTCCTAGGAACACAAAAGTAGAATAAATATAAAGAAAGCCACACCTAAGCACAGCAGACTAAAACTGCTAAAAATAGAAGATAAAGAGAGAAAATCCCAAAAGCAACTGGAGAAAATAGACATTACCTACAAAAAAGCAACAATAAGACTCTCTCACACAAGGAACTACGTCTGATGATGAACATACAATGTGATTTGGTCCACAACGCTTTCATATTTATTATTCAGTCTCCTAAGGAAGAAGGTTCAATGACAGTATACTTTTCATATATGTCAGAAAATATTGGAAGATCCGATATCTTGCACTGTATTGTATACTTTTAATTAAAAATAAAACAAATTGGTTGGTCCAATGTGGTGGGTTATCAGAACTTATTATAACAACAGTAGTGTCACTAAAGTTGGTATACAAACCCCCACTGCTAAATTTGACTGGCTTAAAAAAACAACAACAAATTCTTGGAAGGTATTATTTTATAGGAATTTCATACCATTGACTATGTTAGCCTGATATATGCAATCATAATATCATATTTCTTTGTATTTAGGAGAATTTTAGAGAACTTACAATATTCTGGTACTATATAAGGTTTGGTATTTTATATGCTAACTATTTCAATTACTTTTACAAAAATTTCACACAGAAATACCTGTGATTATTTCAGTTTTATATTTCATACATTCTCGGTACCATATAGAAGATACCATGTACATTTCTGCATACAATTTGAGAAACTCAGATGAATACTGTTTGGGCAAAACACAATGCATGCACTTAAAATCCTCTAAACTTTTTTGTTCTTATCATAAAACCACTAAATTTTAACTACCATTTCCACATAAAAGAAATCAGTATGTTTCAACTGGTGAAAATTTTTTTACAGGCATACTTTGGAGATATTGTGGGTTTGCTTCCAGACTACTACAATAAACCAAGTATCACGATAAAGCAATTTATACAGATTTGTTAGTTTCCCTGTGCATATAACTTAAGTTTATACTATACTGTAATCTATTAAGTGTGTAATAGTATTATGTCTTTAAAAAAAAACAATGAACATATCCAAATTAAAAGTATGAACATGATATATTCTTCCACCTGTTTACATCCTCTGCTATTTCCTTCTTCAGTGTTTCACACTTCTCCCTGTAGAGGTCTTTTACCTCCTTATATTCCTAGGTACTTTATTTTCTTTGTTGCTATTTTGAAGGGAACTGAGTCTTTGATTTGGTTCTCACTTTTACTGTTGTTGGCGTACATGAATGCCTCCGATTTCTGTGTATTGATTTTGTATCCTGAGACTTTACCAAATTCATTTATCAGTTCAAGGAGTCTCTTGGTTGAATACTTGGGGTTTTCTAGGTATAATATCATGTCATCAGCAAAGAGTGAGAGTTTGATCTCTTCTGCTCCCATTTGGACGCTCTCTTGTCTGATTGCCATAGCAAGGACTTCCAGCACTATGTTGAACAGAAGTGGAGACAGTGGGCACCTTGTCTTGTTCCAGTTCTATGTGGGAATGCTTTCAATTTTTCCCCATTCAGTATGATATTGGCTGTGGGTTTGTCATTTATGGCATGTACCATTTTTAGGTAAGCCCCATCTATGCCTATTTTGTTGAGTGTTCTTATCATGAAAGGGTGTTGAACTTTGTCAAATGCTTTTTCTGTGTCTATTGAGAGGATCATATGGTCTTTGTTTTTGCTTCTGTTTATATAGTGAATTACATTTATAGATTTGCGTATGTTGAACCTGCATCCCTGGGATGAAGCCCACTTGG